CGGCTGCCGAGGCCCGGTGTCCGGCGGGGCGGCCGGAGCGGGCCCGCCAGGGGGAGAGACAAAAAAGGAGGGAGCCCAAAAAAAAAAAAAAAAAAAAAAAAAAAAAAAAAGAGAGTTCTGGAACTCAGGAGCCCGTAACGAAGCCTGCTCACGTGCACAAGCCGTCTCCTATCTCTGGTGGAGATCTGGCTTGATCAGCACCCTATGAGCACTTACTGCTCTCAGTCCTGCCTCACCCACCTACACTTGATCCTCAACACAGAAGTCAGAGTAATCCTGTAAAGTCAAATAATGTCACTCCTCTGCTCAAAATCCTCCGGTGACCCAGACAGACTCTAATAAGAGCCAGAATCCTTGCGTCACCCACAAGATGCTCTACTTTCTGAACACCCACTGTCTCTCGGACCTATTTCCTTTCCTTCTCCTCCACACTTCTTCTGCTGCAGCCCTCCTTATTGTTCAAGAACATTCCAGGCACACCCTCACCTCAAGTCTTCTCTACTTGTGGCTTTCCATATCTGGAGATTTCTCTTCCTAAATATCCATCTGTACCCAGGCAACTGAAAATGGCTAAAGGTAAACATACAACCTCACATTCTTGAGGTCTGTTCACAAATGCCGTTTTCTCTCTGAGGTCGCTCAGACCATCCTATGTTAACTTGCAAGCTTCCTCCCGACCACATCACCAACTTTCTTCCCTGCTTTCGTGTTCTTAACATTTATCGACTTCTCACACACCACATATGTTATTTATTTATGTTTTATTTCCTATCTATTCCCATTAGAATATAAGACACTGGAGGTAAGGGGTTTTGTTTATTTGTTCATTGTCTTATGCCCCATATAAAACACAGTAAACAGTGCCTAACTTATGTGTTAACTGAATAAATGAAAGACATTCCATTAGATGCTTGACACAGAGTTAAGAATGAATAACTATTCCCATCCCTGGGGAACGCCATATGCAGGTGGGTGGCAGAACCAATATTTACAACACAAACTTGTAAATCTAAGTTGTTAGAAAAAGGTGGGGTGACTTGTACCAAAGTAGTGGTGCTGAGGACTGCTAAAGCTCTTGAGAACAGAATGTCCCTCTCAGAGGAGACGGCCCCTCTCCTGGTCACTAATGGATGGCAATGACACAAAGCCATCACAAACATGATGAACAGACATTCTGACCAGTCAGAAACAGCCCCATTTTAAATACTCACGGCAATTGATAATTCAGATGGATAAATGAAGATGGCTATTCCTTTTACAAACATGCCGTAGAGATGCTCAAAATGGTGTTCCTGATTCATTTAAAATATTTATATTTGAAATAAAAAATGTTAAACTTCTGCTCTAGTCATTATCTACTGAGCTCCTAACCATGTGTCAGGCACTGTGCTTAGAGCTAGGAGGGAAGGAAAGATAAAGAGGATGTAATTTCAAGCTTGTAGGAGCACAGAGTACACCTGTCTGCTTATAGATAATTTTAGTAATAGAATGGCAGAAGGCTTATTCCTTAAAACCACTAATTACCATAAACTCATTAGAGACGAATGCAAATTCTTCATGGAGATACTTGTGATCAATAAGAAGGTTAGGGGAAAGGACAGATTGTTTTAAAGCAAGGCATTATCCGGAGTTAGAATCTCTCTTGGTTCTCCCTGATGCTTAACCTCAAAGAAACTCCACTGTTCTAAGTCACTTCTCTAACAGTAATGAATGCCATATCTGTATCTTCTGGATACACAATTGCCCCCAAGCACACCATGCTCTGAGTTAATTTAATTCATCACATTATTGGGTACCTGCTTTTTATGCATATATTGTTCATGACATTCCCTTTCTTTCCTTCCCCATCAATCAAATCTCTGCTCACCTTTTATACCCTATTCACATGCTACTTCAGTGAATTATCCCCTGAATTCCCTAGCTTGCCACTCAATCCACTTACCCATCTGTGCTTCCATAACTTGTGATATCACTTAACTAGTATTAGTTGAGTACTTCCTCTATGTCAGGCCTATCTCTAAAGTATGGGAATGTAAATATAAACAAAACAGAAAGAAAATTCCTTCCTGCATGACACTTAAAATCTGGAACATGGTTTATGCCATAAAGAAATAAATATGTTGTCAAGTGGTGATAAATGGTATTTAAAATAAAGTGGTGTAACATCATTAGAGTCCTTCCCTGATTTCCTTGTTATATACAAAGGAATGGGATAATCAAGGAAGGATGCTGAGGAGATGGCATTTGAGCAGATACTTGAAGGGATACTTTGCATGCAGAAACACATGCAAAGGCCCTGAGGTAGGAACATGTTTGGGAGCTCTAAGAAGAGTAAGTAGGTCAATGTGTCCTGAGCACCATGATGGTGGGGGAGGCATTCAGAGAGATGGTTGAGCCAAGTCATACTGTGACCTTACCAAGGACTTCAGAATTGAAGTGTGATGAGAGGCCATAGGAAGTTTTTGGACATGAGAATTACACCATCTAAAAGATTACTCTAGCCGCTATGTAGAGAAGAGACTGGAGGGGGACAGGAGTGGAAGCAGCAAGTTCAGGGGGAGATTATCCCTGCTGAGAAATACTGGTGTCACTTATTTTGTATTTAGTTGCTTCTGGTTTTTTACTGTAAATTGCTTAAAGGTGGACCTTGATTTATTCATCTTTTATTGTCAGTATCCAGCAAATGCCTGGCACTTAGTAGATGTTTAATAAGTGCTTACGGAAGGAAGGAGGGAAGGATTGAGTAAATAATTAATGAGTATGATGATTCTTGAATCTAGTTAGAAGAAACTCAGATGGGAAAGTGTTGCTCTTTCCAAACAACAGTACAAAAAGAAAAGTCTTCCTTATTTTTTCAGTGAAAGGAACAAATTTGTTTTTTTGTTAGAAAATTGGAAAAGTTGGGTCCTACTCGCATTCCAACACCAAAAATGAATGTACAGCCATGAAGATGGCTTCATTCTGCAAAAACTGACCAATTGGTTTTAAGAGTTATTGGAAACAGAAAGAAAGAATGGCTCACATTTATTGGAAATGGGCAATGTTTTTCTAAACAAGAGAGAAATACTTCTTCCTTCTCTCTTAATGGGTGGTACTGTGCTCTTTTGGGCTTACAGAAAGCCAAGGCCATTGAGCAGATGGTCCATTATTGGGGTAGAGGAAAACAAATCTCTCATCTGAAATTAGTTTAACTTGGGAAGAAAATTTTCACTTTCACAGACATACTTGAAGTTGGCACAAAAATGAGAACATGTTGAATTTAAATCAATTTCTCTGCTTCCTTATGTTTTCTGTTATCTATTAATCAAATGCTTTTCTGCTATATTTGGCAAAATAATAATAAAGAATAAACTTTCATCCTAAATACAATGATTAATCACCCAAGACGCACTTGTAACAAGACTGTGCTTAGGACTTTATTTAAAAATTCAAATTCAGTCCCGGCCACAAGAAATTTAACATTTGAACCATCAGTTTCACTCATAAACCAGGCCTTTGGATAGGAAAAAATGGGCAGTGGCACTGTGTCTGAGTCACAAGCATGCAATTCACCTTGTCTGGAAAGATGGTTAAGGATGTCCTGATGAGTAATTGTAGATGGTTATAATGTCTCTGAGAATTTGGGGTAAAAACATACCCACATTCAGACACAGGTTTACAGTACACACTCAGTGATGTCTGAGCACAAGATTGACACTAAAGAAACTCTTTCTTGGAATATTCTTAATCCCTGGCACCCTACATCACAGTCTTATTTTTACATTTTACATTGCCTATGGAATTACATAGAAATCTGTTTTGCCTATGGAATCTGTTTCAATCTTAGGGGGGTTGTTGGTAAATGGCCATTCTATTTTTGAGTTGTTTGGGTGGAAACACTGGAGGTCTCCTTAACTCCTCTTTGTCTCGCATACTCTGCATCTAATTCATCAATAAATCCTGTCAGCTCCATCTTTCAAATACACCCAGAATCTTCCTACTTCTCACTGCTCTGCTGCCATCATTATCTTTCTTCTGGAATATTGCAAGTTCCCTAGCTTGTCTCCCTGCTTCTGACTTCAGCAGCCACAGGGAGGCAGGTAAAAATACATCTCTCCTCTCCTCAGTCCCCACAATG